ATGTTCCAGTAAGTCAGTTTTGGCCTCTTTGCAAGTCTGGCGGCAGTGGCACTCCCTCACAACCTTTGGTGTGTCTGGCGGAGCAATCAGCTCGTGAGTGGCTGACTGGTGCATCAGCCGGAAGTACTGCTGCCAACCATTGCCATAATTTTACCCATCACTCTCCTTGCTCCATGCTGCTCCACTTTCTGTTCACCTCCCCCCACCAGGTATGGTGAACCCCAGACCGGGACTCGACAGCTGGGCACTCAGCTGCATGGTGTCCCAGTTGGTTGCACTGGAAACAGCGTAGTAGTGAACAGGCCTTTCCAGGGGCCTGCCACACTAGGGGCAGGCCGAGCTCTGCCAGGTTGTCTTTCTATGACCTTCCAGGGCCCACATCCCCCTTGGGACAGAACTCCTGTAATCCAGCGTCCCAGTCAATGACCGCCTGGAACCAATCTTGAAGCCAATGCAGGATGCCTCAGTAAACACAGATCTGGCATAGATCACGGTCCAAATCCACCCCGAATTGATGGACCAGCAACCTCTCTGGTCAGGGCCTCAGCTTACCAGTGACCCAGTGGAATTCCCAGACATTTTCCACCACCGACCAGCCCCTCTGCTTCAGCAATAGGAGTTTCCCTTCCACCCATTGTGCATGGGACTTATCCTTGAATCTGACCCTCAGTGCCTCTAAGGAAATTCACCAACTGTTCATTATGCAAGTCTGCTACCCACTCAGCAGCCTCACCTTCCAACACCGCTGTCACTGTCACAACCATTGCCATGTAGAACTGGGCATATTGATCTAAATGGCTAATGGCTTGGCTCAGAAATAAAGCCGTGTGGTCGGGATTCCTGTCAAACGATGCCTGCAATGGTGGCAGACCCCACGGCACCTGCTGGAGCCAATACCCTGTTGGCCACGTGGGCCCCAGTCTGCCTGGCTTGGGTCTGGGACTGCAGGAGATGATGCCCACCAGCCCAACTGGTGGGACCTTGGGCACAGCCTCTGGTCCTGGGCACCACTGTCCCCCATTATGTTTGTCCCTTCTGTGGCCTATTCCAGGTATCCAACCAAATCAGCCAGTGAGGAACTCTGCTCCAAGGCCCCCACCTGCAAGGCATCATGGGTGCGGCTGGATGCCGGGTCCAGGTGGAACTTCAAGTTAGCCAGATGGAACAGGGTCAGCGGAGGCATAGCCGGTTAGGGTCCTGACCTCCGTGGCTGCCATGTTGCTGCCAACTCTGCTCCCGTCTTCCATGGCTGCCAGGAGGGAGCATCCCAGAAACTGGCTTCCCTGAACCGCTCCCACAGCACATCCATGGAGTAACTACCCAGGGCAGTTGAGTAGCTCCACTCCCCCTCATCATTGTCTGTGCATCGTCTCTCCCACCATTCAGTCAAATGAGCCCCAGAATGCGGAGAGGTTGGCAACCATGGACCAAAGGCCCCAGTAACTGATGAACTGTGCCACCTGAGGGCCCCGGGCCCTGGATGGCCTCTGGGACCCTTTGGGCCTCTGCTGGCTGCACCATTCTACGTGTTTCACACTCCTTTGGCCTCACAGCTGGCTGTACACTTCTTCCATAGCCTTGGGCATGAGTATCTCCTCCTCCAAGCAGGCCCACCTCGTCCACATCTGGTCCCTTCCACCATCGTGCTGCCTTCCTCCTATCTGTCAGTTGCTTGGTCAATCCACAAGACAGGCTGTGCAAAAGAAGAGGGGAAAAAATAAAAAGAGAGGAGTACTAGCTTTTTCTCAAAGGTCTGAGGGCCAGACCTGGGTCGAACTGAAGCCAGCAAGCTCAGGAACCATTAAACAAACCTAACTTTAATCTTCAATCAGGCTGGAGCCTCGGTATGCAATGAGTGGGGAACAAAGTCACTTGCAAAGTCAGCGCTGGGAGCTCCTGCCTCCCAGGGCAATATATCACCAAGGGACCACTCCTTCTGGCAGTCTGGACATGTCCTGCCGATCAGCCAACATCCGGTGACTGTCACATGTTCCAGGAAGTCAGTTTCGGCCTCTTTGCACATCCAGCAGCAGCGGCACTCCATCCCAACTTTTGGTATGTCCAGCAGAGCGATCAGCTGATAAGTGGCTGGCCAATGCGGCATCTGGAAGTACCGCCGCCAACCGCCACCGTAGTTTTGTCAGTCACACTCTCTGCTCTGTGCTGCTCTGCTTTCTGTCCCCCCCCCCAGATATGGTGAACCCCAGACCGGGGCTCAACAAACAACTTCTCCAATACCTATATTATAGAGCATATGCCCGGTTTAGCGAAGGGGAACTATACAACTGTCCTACTTTCAGTTATAACATGTGCTGCCAGATTCTGCACTGGTGACCTATGCCATAACTCAATCTTAATGAGTATCTTGTTTTTTTTAATTCTACAGTGTTCTGTATTATGATTGTTTGTCTATCATGTATTAACCTTTATGTTTCCTATACCCATCTAACATTTTTACCCCTCCTTTTAGATTTCTTTTTTGTTTTTATATATACTTCTATTTTATATTTCTTTATTTTTTTATAATTATTTTTATACTTTGATATATTTTATGCTTTTTAATTGAATGTAACTCACCTTCCTTATGCTGGTCTTTGACTGTAATAAATATTTGATTGATTTCAGAAGAGATCCTCCCTAGTTTCGTGGACTATAAATGGTTGGGGGGTGAGAGAAGTAAATTCAGACATGCAAGAATGATGTCGGATGTTGCAAAGCAAGCAGAGAAGAAACATAGTCAGATGAATCAATCCTACTTTATTGTAAGATTACATTAACAAAAACCTGTGTGGGTTACTAAAATATGGTTTGTTTTGGCGTAGTGTGTGATCTAGCCATCATTGGGTAGGATGCACAACAGGTTCTGTGGAAATCAGCCACTGAATTCTTTGCCATAGTAGCTGGCTAAAAGAGTTGAGAAATGGTGAGTCCTTACCCTCAATAAGCAGAGATCTTTGGATAAATTTTCTAGTCAGGCTGACAGGGATAATTACTTAATTTTCACCTTCAGTTATACAAACCTCTTAACCCGCTAATCCTCTTAATCTCTGAGGAATGAAGGCAGTTGGGAGTCTGCCTGCAATCTTTGATAGTTCTTTTACAAAGACTTTACTAAATGTTGTACTAATTCAATTTATTAACTTAATCAGCCAGAAAATATAATCCAGTGAAACATCTAATGAAAGCAAAAGCAATTCATTTAACGCAGTCCTAACAGAATATCCAATGTTAGGTTTATTTTAAAAATAATACAGTGATGAAATTTGATGAAATTGTGTTGTTTGCAATTGCAATCCAGTGGACAAACTCTTGGGAGCAGCATACCCCAACAACCACAGTGGGGCTTATTTCTCAGTAAACATGCACAGAATTGCTTGTTATCAACAGGGCAATCAGAAAGTTAAAGACCATTCATACCTATATAACAATAGCATTTGAGTCTATAAAGCTCAAAATATGTATGCCTTTTAAGTCAGACCCATTAGATCTCTCCACTTTCTCAATGTTCTGGCATATTTTAATGTGAACATCTAGTAATGAATATACAGTATATAAAAATCATGCAAACATGGTTTTCCATGAATGAGGTCAGTTAGCACAGGGATAGTTTAGCCTTTTTTATCAGGGATGGCGATCTGTAGGGGGAGCTCTCTCTTCACACTGCAAAACTGATCCAAAGATTTAATTAGTCTGGCTGAAAACCCAGCAAACTCCAGATTCAGCAAGCTTCTATTATAGCTCAACAGATACTACATTAGTAATCAAAATTATGAACCTTTCAAAAATGGCAATTAAGTAGTCATCCACTGAGTGATATAAATCAATCAAAAGATCAGAGGGGACCTACATATTCATGGCTCTTACCAAAAAAATTCCAAACAACGAAAACAGCCCATTTAAAGTTCAATCACCTGTTTCTCAAGACTGTCACTAAAACCGGGAAATAGTTTAGCTGTCTGAATAACTCAGTGAAAGACTAACAGGGGGGCATATCCCAAAATACAATGCCTACCTTTTTCTCTGACCAATATTCATGCAAGAATGCAAATATATTTGCAGGAAACAGTTGGTAGGAACTCAACTAAAGCCCAAGCAGTACAAGAAAATTTTGGATTCTGCATCCACTGCCAATCTGCCTATCTTCTATCTAATTTTTATGGAAGAAAATGCATGCAGACCATGATTGTTGTTATTTCACCTTTTTATTAACTATTTGTACATATTACACAGACTTATCACCTAGTAAAATCATCTTATCTTCAGTCATGGGAAAGTATGGGCACATACCTGGGAAAACTGAAGTCAAGAGAAATTGAAAGTATTAATATTTCTTTATATTTTGAGCATAAAGGCAGGCTACAATCCTATGCACCGATGACCATGAAGGTACAGTCAATTTTACTGAAGACAGTGAGATGCTTTTCTAAAGGAAAATCAAAAGACCAAATGTCCATTGACACAAACAGCCAAGCACCTTGCTTTGTGTGTGTATATGAGGAACATTGTCCTCATCTGTGCATGGAATACCTTTACATTTACGTATTACCAAGAATATTCTAACCACCCCGTGCATGAGTTGCTTAGGGCTCACAGGCACAGCGCCTTACTCAATTCCCCGTCCCTTAAAATTAGTGACACTTAAACTACTAAACTGATCCCTCTCTTCAAGGGCTGGTTGAAGGGATGCCAAAAACTCTCGGAGAGTTTTTAAGGCCAGCCTACAAAACTGCAGCTCGACTTACTTACTTCCTTGGTCAGGTTATTGCTTGGTATTGCCATACATACATTTGAAAGGTTCCCCGAAGGAAGTTCGAGAGCTAAATGGGAGGCCTGAGACCAATTAGGCTGGGGAGAGGCTGCTGTTGTGGTGCTCTCTTGGTTTTTGGCTCCTAACTTTTATAAGTCCTTCTTCACAAGCTATAAGGTAGAAACTTAAGTTCAGGCCAGTCCCTGGCACAACCCTGTTTGGCTGCTAAGAAGCGATCAGGCTGCAGCCGCAAAGATGCCAAAGGGAGGCGCCTCAAAATCGACTGGTGAAGGGAGCGTGCTTGGCGCCCGCTTTCTTTGCCTCGAAGCTCCCCAGAAAGTAGGCACAGAAGGGAGACGTCACTACTTTCCAACGGGAAGGGAGGGCTGGTAGTCAAAGCTCGCTCCGTGGTTCTGGGACGTGAGGAAGAGAGGTGGGCCAGGCCCACCCCTTAGCGACTCCCTCCGCGACGGGAGGCGAAGAGGGCTGGCCGGCTCCAATTCCACATCCTTCCCCGCGAGGGCCGGAGGAGGAGCAACAACCGCGGCAGCAACTGGCCGCTCGCACATGCAGCAGCTTCGGCGCCGCCTCCCGGCCAGGTCTTCCAGCGGGGGACCTGCTGCTGGCGCCGCTCTCCGCTCCCTTTCACATCCCGCTAATTTCCCCGTTTAGCGTCTCGGAAAGTGCTGCCGGCGGGTGATCCCCTTCGCCCCGGGGAGCCAGCCGTCCAGGGTCTGCGCCCCACCCGCCTTGCAGCCGCTCTTTTAACTCCCCACCTCTCCGGAACCTTCCCGAGCGCTCCGGGTTGCCTCCTGAGGTGGGTCGGCTGTGCAAGTCCTACTCCATCCGAGCCCCTTTCGGAGGATAGTTCTGCGGCGGCCACAGTCGCGTCGCCTCGCACTTCTTCTGCCCTTTCCTTGAAACGGAGGTGTGCAAAAAGTGAAGCCTTCCCGACAAAGGTGAGAGTCGGTCGCGCCCTACAGCCTCGCCACCCCCCCTCTCTCTCCGTGTTTATTGGAAAGGATAACGGCTTAGCCGATTTCAGTCGCTTTGTACTTACTTCAAGTGGCGGGCAGGCTCACGAAGGTACGTCGCTGAGGTCGGGAGGTTTGCTCCGAAGACTTTTGCCTGGCATTTATTTCCTTGCTAGGCTTTGTCGCGGTTTCACCGAAACGAAATCCGCGCGTACGCGGGATCGCGTCGAGGGTGTGTGGGCGCCTCGCGTTGCCTTCAGAAACTAAACATGGGACGCGTTGGACTCTTCCGTGTGTCGGTCTGAGGAATGCGAGGGAGGTAGAGACGCGGGGCGGTGGTGGTTTTAAAGGAGGTTTACTACAGGTCTCCTTGCCCCGTAGGCAGAGAAACTTTGGATTTGGGTAGTGTCACTTCACACGCTTTTCCAAACGCTCGTCGGTGTATAGTAGCTCAACTTTGGTATCTGCTTTCAAACGTTTGCTTCCAGCATCCTGCAGCTTTAAGTTGAGAATTTGTGCCCTTGTCGGCAGGGGGCGCTTGAAGTGAGCCTCTCAGGGCAACTTGTTGTTGTTGTTGTTGTTGTTGTTGTTGTTGTTGTTGTTGTTGTT